TTAGTTGGGTGTATCCCTTACCTATTAGCATTTTCTATAAAACAGCTTCTAAAACTAGAAATTTATAGGGCCATTTTGGGTAAAAAAAGTTTACATTTTTGAATTGTTTAAAATATATAAAGGAAGAGCAGAGGTCTTGGCTTCAGTGGACCTGGGTTAATCTTTTTACCAGTTCTGCCGTTTACTAGCCCTTTGGCCTTTAGTCACTGAACTGCACAACTTCGGTTTCCTTATTTGTAAAAATGGAATAAAAATGCAGAGTAATTGTGAGGATTAATAAAGTAATTTGAATTCCCCTCTGCATGCTCTCATATAAACCAGTGACTACCTTTCACTCAGTACTTTATCACACTGTATCTCAATCACTGATTTTTTTTGTCTTCCTCCCTCACTAGACTATAAACTTCTTAAGAACAAGGACTATGGCTTCTTCTACCTCCCTAATGCCTAATACAGTGCCTAGCATATTGTAGGTGATTAAGTACATCTTAATTTTTCCTTCACCTCTGAAGGTGGCTTATACATTAAGATAAAATTCCAAATGAAATTTAGTGATTTTCACAGTGGCCACCTGTTATTGAGAACCCTTTGGGTTCTCACATACTAACGATGATGATGTTGATAAGAATAGTAGTTTCCATTCAGAACCTACCAGGTATGTGGCAAGCACTTTCAATAGTTTTATCTTTAATCCTACCAATAACTTTACATAATCAGTATTTTTATCACATTACAAATCAATAAATTGATACGGAAAGGGGTTAAATAAGTTACTAAGATATTAAAATGAGCAAACAAGAAAACAGTTTGTACAGGATTAGACAGAGCCATAGAAATCCACAGAAATGCCAACTCAGTATGAGATAAAAGTGGCATTTCAATGCAATACCATAGTAAGGGCTTAGTAAATAATAACAAATAAATAGATGGATTATTTAATGTTTAATATCTCTACTGAAGTACATAAGAAATGTCATTAAAATGGGAAAACATATCTTACATAAGTAAAGTCAATTTGCCATAAACTGACTTATAAAGTAAATGTTAATCAAACTAGTCCCAAAATTATTCCTTAGAAATTTATTCTTAAAGTTTATGTGAAAGACTTAACTTATACAATTATCCATAAAAAAATTCTGAATCTCAGAAGAATAATACCTAATACTGGTGAGGGTCTGAGTAAAAGTTTTGGTGTGAGCAGAACTTGGTTATAGTCTTTTTGGTAAGCAATTTGGCTATATCTATCAACACACACAAATACACACAGAAACCCGACATATGTTTTGACACAATAATTCTACTGTTAAGAATTTATCTTGGNAGCAGAAAACATTTTTCATCAGACTTGATGCAACAAGAGAAGGGCATAGATTACTTACTAATTTTTAAAACTGTGTAAAATTGCTTCATTTCTTACCATTAGGATATCTTCAGTGCTAGTAGTAAGCTGATGAATAATCTGAAACATCTGGAAACACCTGTAACATGAATGAAAAGTTTTAAACTACTCTAGTCATCAAAAGCTCAAGACAAACTCACTAAGCTGAATTAATAGATTTTAGGCTAATAGTAATTATATATTTATAAAGAACTACAGAATAGGGTTTTCAAAAATTACATTGATCTGGAAAGATAATGAAATGACTAAATATAAAACATTACTGGTATTTTTAAGTGGAAAATAATAGTTTCCCTTATTCACCATGCCTCCCTCCACCCCACAGTGGCTGGTAGGAGCAAATGGCAGGGGGAATCAATAAGCCTATATTTTAAAGTCTAAAGAATATTCAAATATAACTTCACAAACAACATAAATCATTACAAATACTGTCAACAGTCTGACAGTTGGATAAAATGCTGTATGTCGGACTGGCCAAGTGGCTCAGTTGGTTAAGAGCTCACTCAAGAGTGCGAGCTCTGAGCAACCGAGTCGCTGGTTCGATTCCCAGCCCAAGCTGAGCGGCTGCTGAGCTGCCAACAGTTGGCAGGACGGCTCAGCTAAAAAAAATGCTATCTGTCAAGTTATATTCTCCATACCGGATGGCTACCCTATTCCTTTAACTACTAAAATCTTAAATTCTTACATATTATTTATAATCTCAAAATAGCAATAGACAAAGAAAGAAGTGTGTCCACAATCTCCCCAAACTTACTCTTCTAAAGTTCTTTTCTTTCCTTTATCAATCATAGTCATCTGATCATGTATTTTAAGACCTGGTTTCTTAGCTATTAATTTCTTCATGGTATTAGAACTAATGGATCCATTCAAGTGAGCATGAAGTTCCTAAAACAAAAGAATACAATCAGTAAAAACATAGCAAGCATCCATTAGATTCATAGCATCATACCAGGTACTTGATGTTTGTAGTCTGTACTAGGCAAATTGCCTACTGGATTTAGCTATGTAACTTTTAAAGTTTACAAATTTTACCTATATAATTTACTTTTCTTTTGTGAAGAAAAAAACAACAACACAAAAGTCATTATAATTAACAATCATTCTAGAATTCAGTGGTTGAATTCTTACCACTTTCGGTAACTCTGAGTAAAAGTTTGTTTTCCATTGCAGCTGTTCTTCTGCCTCCATCACGATTGAGCAGAATAACAAGGTCTTTCTCCAAACACTCTTATTCCTGGTGTGAACAATACAATGTATTT